TCTCTCTCTCTCTCTCTCTCTCTCTCTCTCTCTCTCTCTCTCTCTCTATGCCTTACACTCTCTTCCTCTGTCCCCATCTCTTGCTGTCCCTATTTTCAGTTTGGGTAATTAATATGGAAAGATGGAAAGGCATCATATTCTACAAATTCCTATGAGATTGGCTTGCAAAAGCTGTTAAAGCCAAGTAGGTAAATTAGTATTCATGCAGGTTTTCCTGTTGCAAGTCATCTTTTCCTGTGGGACCAAGTAGTAGATTGGGTAGACAGGCAACGCTCATCCTTGATTATGTGAGCAGAATGCCACCACAGAGCCAAAGCCCAGCAGGAAAAAAAAAAAAATCATTCCTTAGGCAGTAAATCAATTTCTGTGACCTGCTAAATGTAATTGACTACACTCTAATTCTTTAACCCTGTGTATGACGGTGAAAACACATCCTGAGGTGGAATGATTACCAGCTATTATACAAATCCATGGTTTCTGTGTCAGTTAATAACCATTTACAGCAAAATTATACATACGCCATGATTCAGTGGCAATAAACAATTGCTTTAATGCACTAGTCATGTCTTTGTTTAGTCAATCAACTGGATCTCAGAAAACCACCTATTATTCAAAATAGGAAAATGGCTTGGTAAAGAGATTTTTGCTTTTAGATGCATGGAAATTTGTATGTAAATTGAGATGTTAATATTTCAGCTTGTGCTGGATACACTGGATATGGATATGGATAAAGGATATGGCCTTTAATGTTATGGTTCATACACCATAGGAGTCGCTGGGACCATTTGATGCAGTTACATGACACAAAATGCTTTAATGATTATGGACTCACATTACTGTAGCTCCAGAGATTTCGTACAGCATAACAAAGGTTATAAATATTTGATTATGTCAAATACATTGTTAAATATTTGTTTGAGGACAGATAATGCACCATGTTGTTGTTGTTTAAACCATTCAGCATTCAGTATTAGTACAGATATCACAATCAAAACCAAAGAAACACATACAATTATCTTTTCCTAAAGTTTATTCTAAACCGTTTACATAATTTCTTTCATTAGTATGTTCTCCCAAGCTTTACTTTTTTGTCCACCCCATCTTGTTAAAACACAAACTCATTTAACAGTACATGTATCCCTGGCCTCAACTTGACCAGTTGTCAGTGGGCCCAGGACATGGGCTCTGACTTTGGCCAGATTAATTAGCAGTCCGCACTCCACAGTCCGTTTCCCAATTCCTATTAGACCCAGCTCAGCAATCTGGTGGAAGGTAATTTGGTGCTCCATGCACACAGGGCGCTGCATTGACACCTTATGCTTCGTGATTGAAGGCAATCTCCTGGGGACAGCGCTAAATTTATTCATGGTACGCTCTCCCACAGCCACTAGAGACGTGTCTGTGCCCGCCTGCCACACATCCACAGATTTCCTGCTCTGCATCTTTTCCCCCGAATGCACAAATAATACTAAATGATCTGAGGGAGTTGTTGCGGCGTCTTATATTCCAGCTCTTGCGGGAACCTGGTGATCTCTGGGTGAGTGACTTGCCTCTGCTGCGCATACGAGCCTCTAAAATGAAGACAATGCATTATGTCAGGCTAGTGATTGTTATTGCATGTACAAATCTTCACCCTCACAACCTCTTCCATTCTCCCCATTCTCCCAATGGAGAATGGGGAGAACCTTTTGTTAACACGTGTTAACAAAAGGTACGCACACACACACACACGTCCGTGCTCGGTGCAGCTGGGTCACAGGAAGTGGCATTAATGTAATTCCTTGTTGATGTCGGAAATCTGTTGATAACAGAGATGTTAGTAAAGGTGATCAAAGCAGATTAGCCCAAAGACACAGCAGGGGGATTAGTTGGACCCCCTGTCATTAATACAGACTGTTATCTGGGAGCCGCCACGCTCACTAGTCCTCACTGGGGGAAATACAGGGTCAGCCATTACCATGGAGTAGAAATGCTAATGCTCAACTTCAATCAACAGACCCCTGACTGCCTGCCACCGTTTATTTACTGCTGAGGTTTCACAGCCGTTATTAGCCCGTGACCCAAACATGTGAACTGTGGCTCTGCTAAGCTTTGTGGGTAGTTGCTTGAGAGGACACAGGGTCACTTACAACGTAACCAAGGAATGGCCTTTTGTTGCGAGGCACACACTCTATAAAATAGGTGTGAGGCTGAAGCATAACATCACACGTACAACCTGGCTTTTCATGTGGGACGCTTTAACCTAAAGCATCACAAACACTACGAGCTGTGAGCGCGACACAAAGGTTAAAAAAGGTGCTATTAGATCACAGTAATATCTTTGAGAGCTTTACTCATCCCCTTCATGTCTCACAGTGATAAAAGGATGTACGAGCCATCACTCCTGAGGCTGCAAACTTGTTTGGAGTTATTGAATCATCAGAGCAGAAGAGGCAAACAAGTGCCCTCAAGTCTTGCAGCGCTTGAGGTGAAAGAGGTATTTTGACAATTAGCCCTATGAATTTGGTTCCCTCGGCATCAAAACAAGAGTGCTGTCAATATTTGTTACACAATACATGCACATGCTGTTCAAAGACTGATGCTAGCCTATTTCCTTCGGTTAGTGACAATATTGTACCGCCAGAGCATAAATGCAACAGACTTTTGCTATGAGATAGGTCTACAGCATTATCTAACAGATTTACTAAATCATTACATTGTCTATGTAACAGGTGTGCACTTATTGGCAATCAGCATAGCTCTACATGTAGAGTAAGGGTAGAGTTTGGACAGCATACAAGACAATATGTACAATCAAAACAGTACAACAAATATGTATAGATTATATACTGTATTATAGTATAGGACAATATACAAAGAATGCCTTGCATAAGGTTGAGGTGAGTATCAGCTGAACAGGTCAGTCCATACAAGACAGATTTAAGTCAAAGCCTGGTCTTGGCAACAATACAACGGAGCATTTGTTTACTTCTGTGCAAAAAACA